GGATTTTATGCATTTATGACATGTATGCCATATATAAATCCATAATACTGATTTGTTCATGTTTTAAAATTTGTGGAAATGGAATCATATACATATGTTCTTGTTTTCTTCCTTCTGTCACTTGACATTATAATGAATGGGTATAATCTGTTGAGGTATATTGTAATGCTTAATGTATCTGGACTTTTTCTGTTGACTTAATTTGTGGTTTCTATTTATCATGTGTTTTCCCTTGCTTTGTTATTTTTTCCCCTTGCCTTTTATTTGTAAAATTTGCTTACTTTTTTATTCCTCCTGATTTGTAAGTTTAGAGATCCTATTTCCTTCCTTAAGAATTTTAATGACTATGTTTAAATTTCATTTTAACAAAGTCTAAAATTTTTCTGTATTGTCTTTCAAAACAAAACCAGAACCTTTAACTTCTGATCTATTCTACTCTCATTTTTTATGGTGGTTATTGTTGAGAACTGTGCTGTCCAGTATAGTAGTCAGCAGTTTCATGAGGCTGTTAACTACATAAAAAGAATGAGCTGAGTTTTTAAAACTTTAATTTTAATCCATTTAAATTAAAAAACCAGTTATTGGAAAATTTTAAATATCTTTGAAACAACCTGGATATGTAAAACCACTATAAACTTTATGAACTCTGAATACAAATCAGGTATCCCTAGTGAAAACTTAGCACTTGAATAAAGATGTGCTAAAATGTATAGTGCATGCCAGGTTTTGAAGATATAGTGCAAAAATGTTTGTGTAATATCTCAATAATTTGTATATTGATTACATGTTGAAGTGATAAAATTTTAGGTATATTTAGTTAAATAAAATACTATTAAAATTAATTTTATCTATTTTTAATTTTTCAATGTGGCTATTAGAAATTCTAGAATATTTCTATAGGATAGCACTGATACAGGATTTCTACTGAAACTTTTAAAAACTCACACACACATAAAATAGATGTATTATCTACAGGTAATAGATTTACCAACATATTTTATACATTTTTCTTACATACTTTCTTTCCATCTGGATTCAAGCTTTTAATGGCTGAATTTTACTGTTTAGTAATAGGTCCATATTGACAGAAAGGCTCCCTTGGTCTTTATAGTATTCTGCCCTTATCCTTAGCTGGGTATAGAATTCTAGTTTGATAGTCTTTCTCAGGTCCTTGAACTCCATTATTTTTTTACCTTTGTAGTTGCTGGTTAAAAGTAATTTTTTATAGATAATCCATCTTTTAACTCTGATAAAAGTTATTCAGCAGTTTTTTTTTAATCCTCACCAGAAGATACGTTCATTGATTTTAGAGAGGGGTTGTGGAGAGGGAGAGAGACATAGACATCGATGTGAGAAAGATCAGTTGGTTGCCTCCATTATGCACCCCTACTGGGGCTCAAACCCACAACCTAGGTGTGTGCCCAGATGGGGGATCAAACCTGCACCCTTTCTGGTGTACCACGTGATACTCCAACCAACTGAGCCACCCAGCTAGAGAAGCATTCTGTCGTTTTATTACAGTATTTCCATTGTGGTTTCCAGTTCATTCCTTCCTATGAGCTTTCAATCTGGAGACTCATGACTTCAATTTGGGAATAGTCTCAGCTTTATTTAGGTCTTTGCCTTCCTTCCAGTACCTCTGTTCTCTGCTTTCAAAATAACTATTAGGTATATGTGGAGCTTCTCAATTCACCACCATGTCTCCTAACCTCTCTCATATTATTCATTTCTTTATTTCTCCTTGTTGCATTGTGGGCTAATTTCTCAGCATTCTGTGACAGCTCATTATTATTTCTTTCACTTCCCCTGGCTTAGTGTTTATGTTTCAAGTTTTTCTTATTTCAGTGAGCCTACTTTTATTTTCAAAATTTGTAATAAAAAACTTTCAGCTGCCTGTTGATTTTTGCCGAAGTTCAGGCCTTCTTGGACAACCCTCTACCGTATTCTGGTCTCCAGGTGTTCAGTGGTCCGCCTGCCCGCTGACTTGCCCCAGATCAGCTCTCAGCAGTGCTCTAGACTCCCCGCATCCCTGTTGGGCCATTCATCTGGCCACTATGTATGTCCCCCACCCCATGCCAACGCTCAACTCAGGACCCATGACACTTGGGTGCTAAAGGAGCCTTAGATATATGAATGAGATCTTTTCGTTTGACCATGATTCATGATCCTGGAATGGTTTGACCATTCTAGGTTCAGACTAGATTAGCATAAACCTGCCCTGTAGTGAGGAGTGGGGTAAGAACCCATCTGCCTTGGAAGGCCCCGCCCCCCCATCCTAGTCACCTCATCCTTCCCATCAGCCTGCTAGAATATTGAAATATGTCTGAGATCATCTATGTACACCCTCAAGATTTGTTTCCCCCTTTTCTTTGTTACTATTCTTCACAATCCTTTGGGACAGAAAACTTCAGACTTTTCTTTTTATCCCTTCATACCGTGCCCTCTTTGCTGTTGCCAGCCTCATGGCTAAATGATAACATTTGACAGGGTGTGTGATAAGATAGCCTGAAATGGTTGGCCTTTCTGAATCGTATACCTGTTCATCTATGCAACAAAAGCATGTGACAAGGTTGCAGAGACTCTGGATGTAAGGGAATGTGCTCAAGTCCAAGGCTCTGTTGAATGTAATTTTATATTTGATAATTCAGGAGACTCATTAAGAGCTTATATCTTTTGTTGCCTAATATCTATATAACAATTCACAGCCTATGAAATGCTCTCCCCGGCACCTCGCTTGATCACAAACATCACCCTTTAAATTACACGTCATTATCATCTGTCATTCACAGGTAAAGAGACAGCCACAGTGATGAAGGCACTGCCTTAGATCACACAGCTCCTAGGTAGAAAGCCAAGAGTTAAGCCGGCGTCCTGACCTGCATCTGTGCCACAGTGCTGCACTGATCCCTGGGCGAAGATTAGTTGGGTTGTTCCTGACTGTAAATTAGTTACACGTTTGTTCACAGAAAGCCCCTGTGGAGAGATTGCCTAGCTTTGCCTAGAGTTGTAGTTGTTTACATGTCTAGTCTATGTTCATTCATCTGAAGACATTAATAATATTTTCAGTTATTCCTGCTTTTTTATGTGGCACCTTTTCAAGTTTCCCTTTTTCAATAACTTGCACCCAATTCAAACGTTGTTAGGTCCGTGTTTAGAGCGTAATCCCTCAGTCATATTGCTGTCACTATCCACTGCATGGAAAAATATTGAAAATAATGTCATTAAATCATTTTTTACTTTTTCAATGTCATTTAGCATCAGCAATGGTTATTTGCTTCTCCTTTAAATGTCTAACAGTAACAGGTAGAGGGTACCCCAGATAAATCTGCTGAGTGACCTGACAGGCGGAAAGGACAGCCCAGCAGCACTCTTTGACAGAAAAGGGTCTGGTTTGTGGCCAGAAGGGTCGAGATTGTAGCCAAGAAGTGAGCATGGGCAAATGGCCTACTTAGGGATTGTCTTCACATGATCAGACTTTTCAGGATTTTGCCCTCTCTGATTTGGCCGACTGATACAGCGCTAGATCTGTGAACCAGACAATCCTGTGCAAGAGGGTGGGAGGACAGAAGAGAGCAGCCCTGTTTCCCTTCGTGAAAGAGAAGGTTCCATGGAGGAGGGAGAAGTATTGATTTGGAAAACAGAAGAGAACTCCATGGACCTGGGAAGTTTGAGAGAGGGAGGAGAACTGGGTAACAGGAAACTCTAGCATGAAAAGGTTTGTTGTGTCCTTTGACTTGAAGAAAAGCTCTTTCTTTCTCAAACACTTCATATACTTCTGACCTATGTTTTACATAGTATGTTTACAAGCTTTCTTAATTTAGCATTATCATAGCCTATTTTTAATCCCATTAGTTACATTGTTCACTTAAACATTTCCAGTACGTCATTTCCAGTTATTCCATATAAGAAATGGTACAAATGAAACCATATTTTTGCAGTCTTCCTTTGAGTCCTGGTTCCAAAATTGGAATTGCTGGGTCATTTTATGATTAGCCCTATATGTCTTTTTCATATTGCCAGGTTGTTGTTTGAAAATATTATGTTAATTTACGGTGTCACTTGCACCAACAAACAGTGGGTTTTATGATCTTACATTTTTTTCTCATTTTATCGGATGAGACAATACCACACAGCTGTTGTATTTTGCGAAGCTAAACATTGTGCCAAACATTGGTTTGCTACTTGTAATTCTTCCTTATGGGAATTCTATTCATATCTTGTGTTAAATAGCTCAACTTTCTAATTAGTTTAATTGTTTTAATCTTACTATCTTTAGCCAATAAAAATATATTGTTGTAGTTGATATGTCATATAAATCTAAGTATATTTTCCCCATTGTATGCGAGCCTGTGAAAGAGGCAGGTTTATGCTGTCATGAGAGTGGGTAAGTGCTGCACAGGGGCTGGATTAAAATCAGGGAACAAATGAGCTGGGCTGGCCTGGCACTTGGCTGTCCTGTGAGGCTGGGAGTGTCATAGAGGTGCTGGAGTTGACAATGGGAAATAACAGTAAATATCAAGTCAGGTCATATCAAGAAATGGGCTGAAATCAAAGCCAGGCAACCGTGGGATGAAATATGCTCTTGCAATTGCCTGGGCTTTTCCAGCATCTTGCTCTCATCTCAGAGCATCAAAGTGACTGGAACATGCATGTGGAACCCAGCCGTCCCACCACTGACTGCTGGATTCCTGTTCTTTCACCCACATGGAATCACCAAAGAATGAAAATTACTTAGGGTGAATGTGCATTGAGAACAGGAACGCAGAGCAGTTCTTGCTCCACTCCTGGTTTAAAATGAGAGCAGTTAAGCAGATAAGTGCAGTGTGTATGTGCATGTGTAAAACATATCCTCTTACAAACTTACTTTTTCCCCTCAGCATATCTGTTAGTTTATGTAGTCCAGAGAATTTAAATAGCTTTTTAAATTAAATAGCTTAAATGTCCCTCTAATCTGTGTTTTCCAATATAAATACAATTCACTGAAACATTTTTTTTTCTAGTCTCCTGAGAATACAGAGGGCAAGGATGGATCCAAAGTAACTAAACAGGAGGTAAGTATATCTTTGACATCCTGTATTTAATTATTCAGCTGGAATTTTTAATATTGTTATGATTGTCTGCATCTGAGTGAGTGGTATTTTTATACGAGGATGTTGAGAGTACATAAGCCAGAGATAAAAGTGTCACTGTGTTGGTCTCCCTTGACCTAGGTCTATTTCAGTTAAGTTCACAAGTAAGGCATTTTCCACTCTGTTGTTTTATGTTTCTACCTGCCAGTCCTACTGTCTGTTAAAGCAGATACTGAGAATTCCTTCAGGGCAAAAAGTGAGATAATAGGTAAATTCATCAAGGAGAACAAAGTCTGCCTTTCACAGCAAGAAAATGCAAGGCTGTTGATTTAATAAATTCTCTGCTCCAGGGAGTGAATTATAGATTACTTTTTAGGTCCTGAATATTTGCCTAAGAGGAGTCATCTCGAAAGTCACACATTATGGAAGATACACAAAATATTAAAGTTGGGCTTTTTACATCAGAAAAATTCTTAGGGCTTGTGATAATTAATCAGGCAATAATTCAAAGAATCTTTGTATTAAAATACAGTAACTTCCAAAAAGCTAGGTCCTTGGAAGAGATACTTGCATTTGACCCTCCTTGGTAATATCATAAGCTTCAAAAAGGAGATGGATGAAAAAGTAGCTTATAAACTAAAATGGGTCTTGAGAGAGAGAAAAACAATATCTAGTTACAGATTCTTTGATTGGATGATTTGTATTGTGGATAATAATCCAGAGGAGTTTATCATGATAGTAAAATCCCTACATAGGATTTGTACAAGGAAATTCATTATACCAAATTCATTACGGAAAACCTTTAACAGAATCTATAGTGAAATAATTTAAAAGCAAAACAAAACTGTCTATAATTATCCAAGTCCCCACCATCCATTTACCTAGCATTCAATGTCCAGCAGTTTGGGAGGTGAAGTTTGTGACCCAGAATCAGATCACTATACAAATGATAGAACCAACCACAAAATGATGAATGTTTGAATTTCTTGAATATAGAAAAATATAATTTGTAGAACAGTTGGCTAAGTGTAATGAACCTTAATGTTTTTAGATTTGGGCACAAAATGCATTTGGGTGTCTCCTTAGGGACTGCTATTGAAATTGATCTGTCAGTCAGAAAACCTAGAGACAGTCGCACACAAAAGATCTGGGATGGTGAAAACAGCCTTTCCAATCTTTCTTCACTAAAAGCAATCAAGCTGTTTATAATACATGTAAAAGAATACAGCTATCTCACACATATTATTTTAGCCCCAGAAGTTTTATGGTCTATAATACGGGCATACCTCATTTTATTGTGATTCACTTTATTGTGCTTTGTAGGTCTTGCATTTTTTTACAAATTGAAGGTTTGTGGCAACTGCTGAAGGCTCAGATCATGATTAGCATTTTTTAGCAATAAAGTATTTTTTATTAAGGTATGTACATTGTTTTTTAGAGGCATAATGCTATCGTACACATTAATAGACTGCAATATAGTGTAAACACAACTTTTATATGCACTGGGAAACCAAAAATTTTGTGTGACTTTATTACTATAGTCACTTTATTGAGGTGTTCGGAAAGGCATGCTTGTATTTTTATTTTTTTATTATTTTTAATATTTTACTTTATATTATTATATGTATTATATTATTGCTAACAAAAACCTTTTCTAGATAAGACTCTACCTGTCATTTAAACCAAAAATTAAAACTCATGATATTCCTTCAGGACATCAGCACAATTATTTGAAAAGTGAAAAGGTCAGAGGGTTAGCTGGTGGTTTAGGGCTTAGGCTAAGAACTGTCAGACACTATATTGATTGACTTTTACCCCACTGAATCATTTGAATCTTCTAGTTATCCTATTGATTGTGCACAGCCTTGACTATAGCAAAGATAATCACTTACAAAGGATTTGAAAAGCCTCTGTCCCTGCTGTGATACTTGAAGGGTGTGGAGCAGAGTTTATTAGTATTTAGGAAAAAATGACCAAAACAATATATTACAGACATTACACTCAGCAGTTTACAAAGCCCTTCCACATGCGTTATTTCATCTGATCCTTACAATATCCCTGAAACAAGGGCAAAGCAGGTTCATTCCTTGATAGAAACATACTGAGCAACTATAATGCAGCTAGCACTGTTCTATGCTCTGCTAGATTTCACAGTGAATAAAAGCAAAAACCTCTGCCTTCATGGAGTTTCCATTTTAGCGGGGCTGGGGAATGGGGGAGAATGAAATAAAATAATTGGATATTTGCTATAAAGAAAAATAAAACAAAGAAAGGGAATAGTGAATGTCAGAGAAGTACTGTGTTTGATAACAGATGTTACTGTCTTCATTTTCACTAATGCAAACAGCATCCTCAGAGACATATATGATTTTCACCACGTGTCACACCTTCTAAATTGCAGAACTGGGAAAGATAACTGAATGTCCCGACGCAAAGTCCTCTGTCCGCATGCTCATTTTGTGGTCATTGTAAAAACCTGATTAGCCCGGTGCTTTTTCTCTGCCAAGGCTCTGATTTACATCTTTTCCTACCTCCTACTTTTGCAAAGAAGGCCATTTCTCTTTAGTTCATCGTTTCTGTTTGGGAATTAAAAGCAACTTGAATTTTGGGTTTTGTTTAGAAGTAAGTACATGGTCAGGCTCAGGAGCATTAAGAAGTCTCATAAAAATAAACGTACTTCCAAATTCCAGTGGAATGACTCATATGTTTCAAGCAGTATTCAGCAAAGTCCAGTGATTCTACTTGTATCTAGCTATCTCTATCCCAGTGAACTTTATCATAGCAAGATTAGACTTCCATGCCATGTTGTTTTTGCCTCCAGGACATAAAAGTTTCCATGTCTTTCAGGGTAGCCTTCACCAGAATTTTCTCCAACCCAGGGAATGATTAAGTTAATTAGTAAATGCTTAATGAATAATTCCATTGGGCCCAGCACCTGTGGACCACAGGGACCGATCCTCACATTGCTTCTGTAACTTTCTTGGTGACCTGTCATTCTAAACACCTTCTGTCTTTCCTTGAGAACCATCCTTTTGGCCATTTTTTCTGAGGATTCATGTTCAACAAATCAAGAAAAATTTTTACTGTATTTATTTTCATAGTGGTCCTGCCCAATAGCCTAAGTCTCAAATGAATGTTTCAAATTCTAGTGTGTCAAAGAGGAAAAAAAAGGAGTCTAGTCTATTTTATATCTAATAAATATAGTCCAATCATTTACAGATTCTAGGGCTATAAAAGCTTATGGAACTCTCCAGGAAGGTGTACACACTTGCATGGGTACCCAGTCCTGCTAACTGAGTGAAAGGTTCGCCTCAGCTTCCACTGTGTACACTGAAAAAGAAGACGTCTTCTGTTGGTTACCAGAAAGGGAATTTTTTTTTTAAGCATAGAAAGAAGAGTAGTAAATTGTAGACAGGTCGTAAAATGACTTTACAATAGAAGTGTTTTTTGGAGATTAGTTGCTGTAGATAGCCTAGAGAAGCAAATATTTTTTTTGCATTAATTTCCTAGTCTTTTGATTTTGCAACTCTCCTACTGGATCTGAATTATAAAAAGGTAGGGAGTTCTTTGCATCAGAATCGCTTTCAGGCCCTGCAGAGCAGTGCTTCGGTTGGAATGCCTTTCTTGAAATCCCTAAAGGCTCTCTGACATCGCCTGCCTCTTCATATGTTTAGGTGTTCACACTGGGAGGGAAAGAGCAAGAGCATGAGTTGGGGAATTTTTCACATGATTTGGCCCCACTTCAGTGTTTATTGGGACAGGTAGTTGGCAGACAGGGAGGCAGTCATGAGTAGCGGTTAACATATTTGGCCCCTTTTCAGGCCCCAAAACAAATAATACCTGAGTATAGACATACCTCGAAGATGGTGCAGGTTTGGTTCTAGACCATCACAATTATACAAATATCACAATAAAGCAAGTCACATGAATTGTTTGTTTACCAGTGCATATGAAAACTTATATTAACACTATACTGTAGTGTATTAAGTGTGCAATAGCATTATGTCTAAAAAACAATGTACATACCTGAATAGAAAAAGACCTTATTGCTAAAAAATGCTATCACTGGAGTCTTCAGCAAGTCATCACTTTTTTGCCAGTGGAGGATCTTGCCTTCCTGTTGATGAAAACACAGTCATCTGCAAAGTGCACTAAAATGAGGTAGTGACCTTGGCACCTGTCCCAAGTTCACACTTGCTGTACATTTCTTGTGCATACCCATTCTGTTCAGCTCCACATTTACTGAGGGGTCCTGATAGGCATTGGAATGACAGAAGTTGAGCGGCACAGACGTGAGACGGATGAGGTGAACAATGAGGTAAAGCCAACATGGTTCACAAAAGTTGACGCCAACTGGAAAGAGGTTCAGATAAGGTCTGTTCACACCTCTTTGGCATAGACTCTGCCACTTATCCTCTCAGAGAGTCTCCTTCTTAGCACACCGATGCTGGCTGTGCTTTATTTGTGAGATGGTGTGGGTAGTTCTTGAGGCTGCCCAGAAGCGTCAAAGCTGAGCTCTGTTTGGAAATTGCTGGATACTCATTGCTCCTCCTGGCTCTGACTCTGCATTGAAGCAGCACAAGTCACCCACCTGCTGCCCTGTTTAACTGATAATGTTGCCTTTTCTTCAGTGATACTCAGTTCCTGCAATTAACCATCCTGAGAAAGGCATCACAGAATTTGGGTTCTGGTTCCCAGTGACTTGTGGTGCATCTGCATGGTGATCCTAACAGGCATGTGGTATATTCCCCGTGGAGCGTCTGGTGCAGGCTCTCCTCTGTATTGTGCGCCGAGCGGTACATCCTCTTTCCCTGTGCAGTGAATATATTGACAACCACCATTTAACCTGCAGTCCCCTGGTCTTGGCACATTCTGCTAGCTGGCCTTATGTCCAGCTCTGGTCTTTCCCCGAGAACCCAGGGTTAAAATTATTCATGAAGGCTCTGGCCCTTCGGTTCCTTCTGTAGTTTAAAGAAAGGTGAGTTTAGCTTCCTGTGGTTATTTTCAGCAAGAAATTTCTTAGATCTGGAGATGGCAAGAAATAATTCTTTCCATTTGGCCTGACCAGCTGACCTAGACCAACCCAAGCACAGCTGTAAGAATTCCATGATTCCTTGCACTCATGTCATGGGATGTTACCATTTTGGTTGACCCCCTTAAAAAAAGTAACTGAAACATTTAAGCTATCGCAATGAGGCAAAGTGTCAGAACGCAGCAAGAATTAAGGAAAAGCTTGAATTCATTTTTTTGAGCAGATGTTATTGAGTATCTACAATATCTTAGGTGGTATACTACTAGAGTTAGAGCAGTGAATAAAACAGACAAAAAGTATAGAGTATTTACTTCTGGGATACTTTTAAAGACAGGCAGTTGTAGAATGTGAAGTCCCTTGAAGAGCCATCTTTTGCTGGTGGTAAGTAGAATATCAATTCTGTGTGCTTATTTCTGAAATGCCTAGAAGGCTACTGTTACTTTAAATTTTCTTTGCCATCTCATTTGCTAACCATCGCCATCACTGAAGAAGAAAAGACATCAATCTCAATGCAGTTTCTCTTTAAATTCTCTGAACTTCCAAATTAAAAGATTAGTGAACTTTTTACTTTATTTAAATCTTTAAACATATGCATTTTTTTTTTAGTAGAGAAATAAGTGGGTTTATTTTGTTACAGGTAAAAGGAAGTATTTCATTAACTGCCTCAGACTTGTAGTCATTCTCTTTTCGAACATAGTAACAAGGTGGGGAACTCCTGCTGTTTTGGTTTCTACACAATTTTGTAACTTTCTTGTATTATCTATAAGCTTTAGTTCCAATTGTAAGGAACAAGAGTCAGACTGGAAACTGGTTCTTACATAGCACCTCAATGTTCCCACTGTCAGTTTTATTACAAAAGTAGAGATTATGGTTTGGAGCCTGAATTCACCTTCCTTTTCTTTCCTTAGTCTCCTTAACCAGGAGAGGCCATTTCTTTGAACAGGGTGCCTGCACCTTTTCAGAAGCACTTCTTCTTGAGCATTAGGGCGCCCAGGTTTACTTGGGGTGTTTCACTGTACTCACCTGGAGAAGATGATGGGAGTCATACATTATATTCTTTCAACAAATATAAGATATTAAAAAAAGAATTTTTAAAAGTCAACTTACTTGTACATAATCACCAAAAACTATGTATTTTTCCATTTTCTTTGTAGCCCCCAAGACGGTCTGCCAGATTGTCAGCGGTGAGTACTTTAGAACCCTAGGGCGTTAGTTCCTGTGGGTACATGTTCCCTCTGTCCAGAATGAAGCAGCAGAAGGAAGATTGTTTCCTTTGAGATTTTTGTTTGTGTTTTGGAACTTACATGGTCATAATATATAGCAAATTCGACCATTGTTGCCAAGCAGTTCCCTTGATCAGATTTGTGTTGGAGAAAAATAGCGGTCAGCCCCATTACCAAGACTATAAAGCCCAGAAATTGTGTGATATTGCTAGATCTCTGAAACAAAGAAGTGCATTAAGCAAACTCGTAGCAGAATTCTGATTCTGTCTACAATCACACTGTAGAATGTTCTGAAAGTTTTCTGACTCCATACGCTTTAGCCTCATGAATCAGAACTAGAGGATCTTTGAAAAAAGTACTGATTCCACTTTGCCACATGGAATGCCCTTCTGTGGGCCCGGCCCAGGGAGCAGAGGCGGGCTGGATCGCAAAAGTGGAGATGGGCACGTGCGCCACGCCTTGGCGACGAGCGTGCTGTCACCCTCGTGGCCACGCTGCGCTCCTGGCTGGCTGTTGCGCTGCTTCCTGCTGCCCTGCTCCGTGATGTCCAGTCTTCATTCTGCCTACACAGGTCAGCCTGGCTCTCTGGTGGAGGCTTTGGGTTAAAACACCAGCAGCCCACACTGCCCACTGAGATGTAGGGGAAAGGCATTGGCCTCTTGGCTGACAGCTTATATCCCATTCTAGATAGTATAAGAGCTGCAAGTTCCTTTGGCCTTTGTGGAGGCATGGATTTCATCCTCAGCCAACACCTGTGCCTGGCTCAGATCAGGAAATCAAAGCAGAAATGAATATTAGGACCAGCCACAAGTTTAAGAGTATAACTGGGTTTGAGTGGAGTGAGCCAGTGTTTACCGTGAGTCCCAACCTAAGAAGGTGATAGCAGAGTCACCAGGAAGATTAAGAACTGGGAGGCGCTCTTGGGTGTGTACACAGTTAATCCAGATTCTCCCCAAAGCCCTCAGAGATGATGTGCTCTGTCTGATAGTAACTTTCACTAGGGTTCAGAAGTTAGTTTTCCCTCTTTTTAGGCTTAACTATAGATTTTACTGAAAGCCATTGTGTTCCGTGGATCTCTAGCCTTTTAAGGGGATGGACCTTGTAAGTCAAATAGTACTCAAGTTTTAAAACAAGGCTTTCCCTGAGCACCAGGAACCAGCAATATAAGCACCTTCCACTGAGATCATTGCGCGTGGTGCTGACGCTGCGGGATCACAGGCTGTGAAACACCCTCATCTCCTGTCCCATCGGAACACTTGAAAGCTGAGTCAAGGGGAAAGAGCTGTCTTACAGTAAATAATATAAAAAGAAATTACTTGCTGTAAACTGAGAAAACAAGCATATGTCAATATGCTATATCAAAGCTCGAAATAAAATTGTTAAAATCCTGAAAATACTTTAGCCATACAAGCCATTTTTGGGGGAGCAGGCTGCAGATTTAGAGTGGCAAGAAGATTAATAAAAGCATTGCTTGCTTTTCAAGCTCAGTTTTCCTTTTTTATTTGAAAGGTCTTGTCTAGCAGCCAGTCTTCAGGTATTGAACTGGCTACAGTTTTACTTTATGCCCCTGATGAAAAGGGCCAGATTCAGTGTGAACCTGAAACACCTAGAGGCTTTGGGGAGAAACATGTATTTTTCTCCACAGGGGGAGAACCTGGCCTGTGTTTTTAATTTAAAAACCATTCCCCCCCCAGTGTCAGGAGAGATGAACACGTATTTTTTTCCAGCTCAGTGAGAGAAATATCTGCCCGGCTATAGCTGTGGAAAACTGTCTTTCCCAACGTCCCCATGTCCCACCCGTGCTCAGCGCCCGGGAAGCAGGCCAGGGCTGAAACCCTGTGTGGAGGGCGCTGTGGCCACAGGGCAGGCAGGCACTGCTCCTGGGAATGGGAAGGAGACCCATGCGAGGCTTTGCGAAACTAGTTGCCTAGTGGACTCTTTGGCTAGTAAAGTCTGTGAAAAGTCTTAAATGTTGGGGGCTAACAGTGAACGTTCCATCGTTATAATCACGTTCTTAATAGAGAGCTCTAGGGACAAAAATGAGCCCAGCCTCTGGGTGGGTGAGGGATTCTTCTTACCTTGAGCTGGCATTGGAGACGATGAAAATAAGAAGACACTTGGCTCCAGAACTGAAAGCTACATCAGAGGTGAAAGGATTTGGAAATGATTTGAAATGCTTCACAGACAGCTGCAGTCTTCATTACTGGATGGGCTTTGCCTGTGATTGTGCTGTGATTTCTAGACTGTTGGGAAGGCTAGTGTGACCGAATTCATTGAGTCATTTGGCTGAGAGCCTGAGTCATCCCTCTTGCTGCTGTGCTGCGATAAAAGGAAGTGCAGAGACATCAGAGATAGAAGCTTAAACCTGTTCCCGGAGAGCTATTCTGGACCGGGAATAATGAGTCGGCTTTTAAATCTCACCTGCCGTTCACTTGAGAACCCAAGTATGAAAATAGTTATGAAGTGCAGAGATCTGTATGCTGTTATCTGATGCTGAAAATAGAACAGAATATTTTTAAATGAACAAAATCATAGTCAAAGTGGACTGTTGTCTTTGTAGCCTTTGTGTGTTCCTTTTGGTGCCGAGGGTTGTCTTTGTCAGTATTTGTATAATTTATTTTATTTCTGCAGAAACCTGCTCCACCAAAACCTGAACCTAAACCAAGAAAAACATCTGCTAAGGTAAAAGGTACACCCACCCCCACTTTGTCTTTTTAAACAATGAATAAATTATAATATCATATCCAAAAGTCATCCAAGGAAAGATCGCATTTAATGATTCAGGCTAAATGTGCTGCCTAGAAAGCTGCTACCCTGCTACAGACTTTCTCAAAAGGCATAAAGCACAGTTTTATGCTTTATCAGGAGTGTGTTTACCATTTGGTTAATAAAGTAAAGAAAGTCAGAGCATGTTGCTCTGAGAAGCCTCATGTCCAAGGGGCGTTGGTAGCTTCCTCACGAACGTGCTGTTCACACAGTGCTCAGAAGGGGTAGGCCTGGCCATGGGCAGTGCTGTTCCCCGCAGCTCGAGGACACGGGCAAGGGGCTTCTGACTTCATATCACTGGTGGTCTTAGTGGGCCTGTCTAATAACTAGTAATAATCACGTAATAATTAATACTAGCAAATAATTAATACCAGCAAACATTCATATGACTCTTACACTTGCCAGACCCTGTTCGGATTGCTTTTCTCATGTAACCCTCACGATTGCCTGTGAATTGTTTGAAATGATGTGAGCAGTTGATTCTGAAGCAGAACTCACTTCTGTAGCTTGGTCTTAAAATTAGGATCTGGGTCTTCATTTTCAAGTTCCCTCTCAGCTTTCTAGTCAACTACTCAAGTCCATGTCCCTTGTGAAGTGTTTCACTTGGTGGCTTCTTCCCTGGCTTCCATCTCATCCTTCACCAACTGCTGTTGTTCTCTTCACTTCTCACTTCATCGAGAGACGAGGTTCACCAAACACATGCAGGAGGAGAATCATCATCATGTTTTCCCAGAAAAGAAGGTCCAGGGGACTCTCTAAACAGCCTGTTACATTTCAGAGACTCGGTAGAACTCAGCTGATTCCCAGCAAAATTGGGTTCCCCCTAAAAGCCACCATGTTGGCCCTGGTTGTGCTTTTACCTTGTGTTTAGACGGAGGCTGACTGACCTTAGCTAACATCACACCATGTCTAACATACTCTGTGCTCTGATCCTCTGTTAGAAAGAACCTGGAACAAAGATTAACAAAGGTGCTAAAGGGAAGAAGGAGGAGAAGCAGGAAGCTGGAAAGGAAGGTACTGCACCATCTGAAAATGGTGAAACTAAAGTTGAAGAGGTACTTTGCATAAATACCTCCCACTGACTGAATCAGTGTCTTAAGAAATTGCTGGATCCTTCAGCTGGTGATAGCATGTTCTTAATGTCTCTTTTCATTGCCTGTAATGTTATTGCAGATCCACATCTCTCGCTCAACTGTTAGTGTCTCAACCTCCAGAGGTGCCCTACCCAGCACACTGTCAGTAAAAGGGCAGATTGAAACAGTGAGAGTTAAGGGTACAGTAGAAAATTCTGCATGTTTGCAGTGACTAGAATCAGATAGTGGTGTGGTGTTGTTTATTATAAACAGTGGGAGCTTGCAGCAAAAGCTTCTGTGGCCGCCGTTTGAAAAGCAGAAAGCAGTAAATATACCAAAGTGTTTGTGAAATATATATATATATACCTGCCTTGTCTGTTTTATACCCAGAGTTGAAATAGGTTTTCCAGTAGAGCTGCTAAAAAACAGACGTTTTAAAGTGTGTGTGTTGGTGGGGTGAATTTTTATTTGGCTTCTAGTAGTTTTAATAGTAATTGTATCTTTTTTTTCCCCTTTCTTCTTTACAGGCACAGAAAACTGAATCTGTAGATAACGAGGGAGAATGAATTGTTATGAAAAGTTTGGGTTGATTTTATGTACCTCTTGGGACAACTTTTAAAAGCTATTTTTACCAAGTATTTTGTAAATGCTAATTTTTTAGAACTCTACTAGTTGGCATACAAAAATATATAAGAATGGACATTTTACCTTCTCATAATCAATCTTTTTGGAAATTTACATCATCCTCAAGTAAAATAAATTTAATGTTGGAAGCTGTGTGTAAAATTGATTCAGCATTCCATGCATTTGCTTTAAAAATTTAGTCCTGTGCATACTGTGGTGTTTTTACTGTGCATATTTGAATTTTTCACGCAGTTTTCTAGAGCAATAATCAGTGGTGCTTTTGTACCTAGGTTTATGTGATTTTAATGAAACATGGATAGTTGTGGCCACCTGCTGACTATTTGTGGTTTAAAATAAAAGGTTTTCTTGCCTGCAAAATACCTGCCTCTTAGTAGTGTTTTACTAAGTTTAGACAGTGTTTTATTTTATTGTTGCAGAAGACATAAAGCATTTCTATAGTCTGTGCTGAGATGGTATCTCTAATAAGTCAAAAACAGTTGTTACTTAATTTTCTGGCATTTAAAACTGTTATTATTTTAATAAAATCATCTGTGAGTGGCAGTGGAGAATGACATCTAATACACCTTATACAGAATTGGCCCACAATGATTACCATATATAAAACTTCATAAAAACCACTTTTTTGAAGTCTTTATAAACAAAGAGCGTTCTGCTAAACCAGAACTAGTGAAAAACCATAAACTTTGAAAATTCCCCACTTTCAAAATGAAACTGAGTCAGATTTGTACTAAAACACTTTCCCATTCGTTGAGGACTTAACAGCTTTGAAAACTCTACCCAACGTGACCACATTTCAGCCTTGAGTCAGCCTAAGAAAGGAGTTGGCATAGGTGTTATTAAAGGTCCTTTCAAGGCCAAGAAATAGGGCCATGGAGAGCATGTGACTGACTTCAGGCCCACAGAAAGAAGAAAAAACAGAGCTTGAGCTTGATCTTTTGAATTGTATACATAGTGTCTGTCTTAGTCTTTTCAAGCTGCTAATAACAAAATATCACAGACTGAGTAATTTATAAATGACAGAAATTTCTTTCTTACAGTTCTGGAGGCTGGAAGCCTGAGATCAGGGTGCCATTCAGTCAGGCGAGGGCCCTCTTCCAGGTCGCAGACTTCTCATTGTGTCCTCGATGACAGAAGGGGCTAGGGAGCTCTCTGGGACCTCTTATATAGGCACTCATCCCATTCATGCAAGTTCCACCCTCGTGACTTAAGCACCTCCCAAAAGCCTCACTTCTAATACCATCCTGTTCGGATGGTAAGATTTCCACATGAACTTTGGAGACACATTCAGACCATAGCAATGTCCTGCTGTTTCTGGACGGATACAGCCGTGCTAGGTGCAAAGGAGCTATTTTATGAATGTACATTGTTTTGTTCCTTTACATTCCTGAGAAGTTTGGTAACTGCATGAGTACCTGGGAAAGCTGGATTCTGAGGATTCCTCTTCGTTGAAGACTTGAATTTTTTAAGATGGTGAATAGTGCCTGTGCTGCTTAGGGACTCTTGCAAAAAGGCTGTTGTTCCTCAGGGCCTTAGATGCTTTTCTGTTGTGATTATCAACCAAAATATAAAATCCATCATTTTAATATTTTGTGTCATTGTCCCAAGACTGTCATTAATCTACTGCAGATAACAACCATTTTATACAGAATAATCTCATTCAAAGTTTCTGTGGCTTCTGATGAGGAAATGTACCTTAATTCGTGAGTGTTAGATATGCTGAAAACCCACTTACCCGAAAGAAGAATAGCTGATATCCTGTGAACACTTTACAAAAATGTTTTCAACGCTTTTTAGCACACAGTTGAAGTACATTGCTGGCTAACTGCCAATTCAGAAGTGGAATATAAACTCCATAGATTTACTTTTTAGAAAATTATGAAGGTGCTCTTGCCAGTGTGGCTCAGTTGGATGGAGCATCATTCTGTAACTGAAAGGCTGTGGTCCATTCCCCATCAGGGCACATGCCTGGGTTGTGGGTTTGATACTCAGTCTGGGCGTATGATCCCCAGTCTGAATGCCTATGGAAGGCAGCCAATGTTTCTCTCTTGCATCCATATTTCTCTCCCTCTCTCCCTCTCTCTCTAAAAACAATGAAAAAAATGTCCTTGGGTAAAGATTAAAAAAATTTAATGGTGCTATAGGTGATTTTTAAAAAATATCGGACACTACAATAATATATAAAGGAGAACTTTGAAAAATCAAAGTTCTCCTTCCCCCCATTCCTGAGTTCCAGAGGTAATCATTGCACACCACTTTCTCTATCACTGTGTAAATGTGTGTATATATGCATGCGTGCAAAACGATATTTGCATGTAAATTTCATGACCTTGAATGGTTTCTTAGGTATGATACCAAAAGCACAAAACCAAATAAAATACAGATAAACTGGACAAAATCAAAATTAAAAACTTTAACAAAGAGGCAACCAACAGAATGGGATGAACGATTTGTAAATCATATATCTGATAAGGGTTTTGTATCCCTAATACATGACACTCTTACAATTCAAAAATAAACAACTAAAAAAATTTTAATAGGCAAAAAATTTCAGACATTTCCTCAAAAACATAGCCAATATGTAAATAAAGGGTTGCTCAATATCATAAGTCATTAGGAAAATGCAAATCAAAACCATAGTGACTTAACACTAGAATGAGTATTTAAAAAAACAATGTGTTGGAGAGGATGTGAAGAAATGGAGCCTTTGCTTACTGCTGGTGGGAATGTAAAATGGTTCAGCCTATTTAGAGAACAGTTTGAAAGAGCCTCAAGAAGTTAAACAGAGAATTAGCAAATGACCCTGTAATCCCACTCCGAGATATATACCCAGGAGAACTGTAAACATATGTTAATACAAAAACTTGTACATGAATGTTTATAGTAGCATTTTTATAATAGCCAAAAAAATGGGAAAGAACCAAATTGTTCATTAACTGATTAAGTGGATAAACATAAAACAGTATTCCATGCAGTGAAATATTATATAGCAAAAAAAGGAACAAAGTGCTGATATATGAGGTCTTTCCAGAAAGTATCCAGCCATGTAATATGACAATAGACATTAATTGAAGAAGATACAAGAAACATTGTACATAAGATAAGTACTCCTCAGTCCCCTTCAAAGTAGGCACTCTGGGACTTCACACAGTTCTTCCAATCACCATCAGCTGCCCTGTCATATTTTCCTGAATCTCATTAATGGTCTGAAATCTGTTCCCTTTCAAAGGTGATTTTAGTTCTGGGAAAATCCGTAAGTCACAGGGCACCAAATATGGGCTTTAGAGGGGCTGAGTCGCCTGGGTGGTTTGATGTTTCACAAAAAAACCTTGCAGGAGACGTGCATGATGTATGAGTGGGTGGGTTGTTGTGATGAAGTTGCCAATCAGTTGCCTATAGCCGCGGCCTTCTGAATCATCTGAATAGTTTCCATGGAGAAATGTTCAAGCTTAACACAAAATTTGATGCAGATTTGTTGCTCTACTTTGTCATTTTGAATGTAACAATCACACGGTACACACGCTCACTCAACTGTGTCTACAGCCCCCACTGACTAGTACAGTGAAGTCATCATTGTTCATACATGCACATTCCAGTCCACTCTCCTTGGCTGCTGGGTTACATTGATGTCATGCAAGCCATTCTCGTTACATTAACAATGGCTGGTCTTTTTTCAGACAGATCCCATATGCTACTGCGTGAGTGAACTTTGAAAACATTATGCTAAGTGAAAGAAAGCAGTCACACAGACACACAAAAACACATTATGTGATTCCGTGAATATGAGATGTCCAAATGGGCAAATTCATAGTGGTGGAAAGTAGATTTATGGTTGTCAGAGGCTGGGGAAAGGGAACAGTTGGGAGTGATAATGGGTACACAGATTCTGTTTGGGGATAATAAAAAGGTTCTGGAATTAGTGGTGATGGTTGCACAAACTCATAAATACATTAAAAACATTTATGAGGCTACTGAAAACACAGGACTTAGAATCATGAGGTCTAGGTTTAAATCTCAGCACCATTTCCCACTAATTGTGTAAATGCAGACAGATCGCTTAACTTCTGCCTCTTCATTTTCTCATCCTTATAATAGAAATATCTGTTTGACAAAGTCGTTAAGATTGAATGAGGTAGTCACTGTGAAATCACTGAGTGCAGAGACTAAGTGGAAAACAGTAGGTTTTCCACAAATGCCAATTGAATTGAAATTGGATGTTTATAAATGAGCCTTGTAGGCATGTTCTGATGAATACATACCATGTATTTGTCATAGGCAGTTAGCCTCAGGTCACTGTGTCTCCGTTGAACAGTGCAAAAGGAAGAATTATGCTTTGTTAGGAAGGCAATATAGTGCAATGGCTATGCTCGTGAACTCTTGAAACTTTCTGCCTGGATTCAAATCCTGTCTTTCCATGACCAAGGACAAGTTACTCAGTCTCTCTTTACTCCATGTACCTTAGAGTTCCCATATAAATGAAAATAAAAATAGCACGTACTTCATCGGGTGTGATAAGTGTTAAATGGCACAAACTAAGTGTTTGGAAAGTATAATTAGTCAAAACATGTGGCTGGTAAAATGTTAGCTCCTGAAGGCAGGGAGCATTGTCTCATTCTCCTTTGCGTCTCTGGCCCTGACACATAACAGAGGCCCAGTAAATATTTGTTGAACTGAATGTAGCCTTCAACAAGGAAGAACCAAATTGCTTGTTACCATTGCTATATCCATTTCCAAAGTAAGCTAACAGGATAGTGTAACCCAAACATATAAATCACAAATCTGGCCAATATTCCTTTAAGTTAATGAAAAAAAATTAAACCATCATTATTTCATTTAGTTTGTATTAGCTAATGCCTTTTACAACACCAATACCATAACTTTAAGAACATCTGAACGTGTGTTTTGGTACTATTCTTGTAATGATATTTGTTCAACCTGTATAGTCACATTTTTAATTTAGACCCCACTTTACTTTCTTAAGAAAAGTCATACCATGATCTTTAATACCTTTCTATATCTGGACCTAGGTTAATGGGTCTTACTGAGTTCTTTGAAACCAAGTCACCTAGATTCCCCTTTATAATAAGACCAGCAAAGAGTTTCTCAGACTTACCAAATAAGGTATGAAGAAGTTATTACTCAAATAGCACTGAGAGTTAGAAAATATTTTCTTATTGTTGAGCCAAGAACCATCTCTTGTAGCTTCCAATTTTAATTGTAAGTTTACTTACAATTCTCCTGGAATCAAGGACATATAGAACTAATTGACCATTCCCACAGCAATCCTTCAAACATATAAAAACACCTGTTACAACCCCTCAGAAACACCTCAGTTTCTCTCACCCATCCTTATAGATTAT